CGGTTAATTAACCGGTTAACAAATATTTTAACCGGTTATTAACCGGTTAAAGAATTTTCGGCCGGTTCCAACCTCTACAACTAAGTCAATATAGCAAAGCGTTTTTTTTTATTAGAGAAAAATTTTTTACAGTTACACAAAATTTATTATTTAAAAAATATTTATCATTTCGCTTACTCAAAAAAAAATCAAAATGCAACTGCCATTAATTCAAATGAGTGGATTGAAAATATATTTCAAGCAAAGATATCTAATATTTTGAAGACAACCATTTTGAAAGTTTTCAAGAGATTGGTACAAAAAATTATGGAAAAGTCCATCGTGAAATTGGAAAAGTTCAAAGCAATACCTCGCGTTAAAATCATTAACAAAGCCACAGATAAAGAACTTGTTCTTGAGCTAATTACAAATGAAATATAATATTGTATTTCAGTTTATTTATTATAGTCATTTATTTTCTCAAGATAAAAATTTATATTAATAATTTTAACGAAAGTTGATTTTCATTGTTATATTATATTACTCGCTTTTGGGGATTACCTCATTAAAACATCTTAAGTTAATTAAGGATGTGTATTAACTTTTATATTGTATTTTTTAATATATCAAATTGATCAATTGAAAAAATATTTGCTAGTAATGGAATATGCTGATGGCGGTGCACTTAGAAACTATTTGAAAGATAATTCAGATAAGCTTGCTTGAAGACAAATACAAGTTGGCATATCAGTTTGCTAGTGCTTCCCTATAAAAAAAAATTGTCCAGAAAATGTTATCGAAAATGTCCGGGTGTATGTGGAAAATGTCCGGAAAATGTCAAAATCGTCCGGAAAGTGTACCAAAGCATGGTGGATTCCGGACATCGATTGATGTCTTAATATTGTCCGGAATTTATACCGAAACATGGTGGTTTCCGAACATTATCTGGATACTACAGCAAATTCTGGACAAATTCCAGAATTTTATTTTCATAGGACTGTGTTGTTTTACATGACGAAGGAATTGTGGTATCGTGATCTGGTATCTTAAATAATATATCTTATTTGGTTTATTATGAAACTTACTGTTAATTATTAATGTTAATTTTATATATACATATATTATCATTCCGGCAATATCATTAAGGTGTAATGAAACTAGCAAACTTTGGTCTATCGAAAAGGATTGATGAAGCAACTAACGGTCAAATGTTTTTGGTATAATTCCTTATATCGATCCAAAAAGATTTGGTTATGGAGAAAAGATGACAATACCTCGCAAATATACGCTAAATGAAAAAAGTGACGTTTACAGTATTGGTGTTCTGTTATGGGAGATATCAAGTGGTCGCCCTCCTTTTACATTAAAGGTGAACAATATGACCTTGATTTAACATTAAAAATTTAATAAGGACGCAGAGAAAGTGTCATTCCTTGTACGTTTGAAGATACGTAAACATTTATACAGGTAAATATAATATTATAAAATTAAATATAAAGTTTTCGATCATTTACATTGTTTATATAATTTTAGGATTCTGGGACGACGAGCCAGACAATCGTCCGGCTATTAACAAACTGGATCTTCATAAAATTTACAGTTCGGAATTTACCAGTACATTTACTCATTTTAAGCACCAACCATTAAAAAATTTCTGTTAAATTTGATATTATAATATAAAAACACCAATTGAATGATTAAGCTTTAGCGGAATGCTTGTCTTTTTACGAAGTAAATAAATAAAAAATTTTAACAACGAAATAGAAATATTAATGTTAAATTTAAAAAAATACGAACGAGACGGTTAAAAAACTAGATTTGTCATTCTATTATATTAAAATTAAATTAATTAAATTATATTTTAAAACAGATAATATCAAAATAACTTTAAAATATCAGTGGGAAAGTCTACCTTATTAGAAACATCAGCAGCTTTAAGACTTAGCCTTGGAACGGGTAATTATCATACTAATAATTCATCCAATTATCAATTTGACCATCATCACATGTGCCTTGTAGGATCTGTTAATGATGTTTTCCTAATATCCATTATCGTCTACAAATATGAAAATCATGATGTGTGTTAAAAAAATTTCCACCATTACTTTTGGTGCAGACTGTATTTCATGCAAATCTTTTGAATTGTTCCTAAAATATTTACAGCAAATTTCATATATAATGACGAGACTTATTAGATTATAGGAAGGGAAGCTGGTGTTAATCGAGAATTGAGCCGAAACTAAGAATATGTATCATTATAACTTTTAGTCTGAGTAAGAACTATATTAACTATAGAGTTTCCAAAACTTATCCCAAGCTGTCATTACAGAACTCTGAAAATACTAAGTCGAACTACGGACTATTTTATAAATATACTATTTAGATATAACGATAACTAACTAAATAAGAAACATTACAAATAACCATTTGGTATATAAAAATAGGAAGTATCGATTTTGCAGATCGGTACGTTTCGATTCAAATTTGCGAAACTGCACTTGACCAAACAATTCATATTTAAATCAAAAATTTCAACATAAAAAAGTATTTGTATTGTTCATTTTACTATGTTATAAAAGCGTATAAATGTCTTTATTATAATAAGTAAAAAGTGCTAAAAGTATTGAAAAATAAATTTTTCGTTAAATAATTATTCAGATTTTCAAACTTATATCTAATGAAAGTTAGAGATTGGCAACCCTTTCATTGGTTAAAAAACGGTATTTTACATAATGTTCGTAGGACGCTTTGGATTTTCGGTAACATTATGACTTGATGTAGCAGCATTTAAATCAACAAGAATAGAAATTATTTCTGTTGGATACATTTTTGTAAAGTTGTTTATAAAGATTAATTTTATATTTGTATTATATTTTGAATTAACTGATTCCAATTACACTGAAAAAATTATTTGGTTGAATAATCGAAAAGAGTTTCGCAAACTCACATATTTATTACTATTAATAGGAAGATTGGCCCAATCTGCATTCCTTCATATTTTTGAATCTTTATTATTAATTGAAAATTATATCATTTGTGCTACGTAAAATATAAAATAAAATCCATTCATTAAATATTTATAACTTGTAATAATAATTCATGTAGAATCTATAGCGAAAGCTGTTAATCTTGAAGAATTTTATTGCAATATATATTGGTTAACTCATAACTGCATATATATCAAAATTGATATGAGCAACCACAGGGAATTAAATTTTAAACTAAAAGCATTACATAGAAAGAATAACATAAAATACTGAAACCAACCTCATTAAATATTTATTTGTAACCATTACCAAAACAGAAATCAAAATCAGATAAGCCAATAACTCTAGGTAGGATTAACTACCCACTACAACAATCTGGACAAAATTCATCAAGACTACAGGAAAATTTCCAAGGACAGGCTGGGCAGAAACTCTTTTTCATCAAGCTTGAGGATTTCTCACTAGACGAGGGAGCTGAGAAAGCAACGTTACTGAAAGCTGAAATGACGATTATAAGTACGAAAATGTGAATTTTCATGGCGACTTCGAAAGTATTTGAAGGATTAATGTCACAAATGTTTCTATAATATGTGAATTTTATATACAGATTCTTGTGGAAATGTTGTATTTATAAGTAAATCAGGTTAGAGTTACTGTACAATTTAAATTATTTGATGGAATGGTTGTCTTTTGACAAATGTGATAACTAAATTTCCTCACTTTATATAGTCTTTTTTTAAGCATCAGGCTTATTAGGCTTATCTTTAACAAACTTATATTTGCTTGCTAGAAATTCTCATAAAGAGCGTTACAGCCTTTACAGCCTCTCAAATGCTGTAATAAATATTTGCAACTTACCATTGTAAATCCTAAATATAATGGATAGAAATAAATTTAAGCTATTGTATATATACAATGAATATAATTTTGCCCACAGACGATAATTTGTTCAACACAAATCATTCCGGCCAGTTCACAAATGGGATATTGATGTTGTAATGACATTTTTTGCGGTAACTAAGCCAAGAGGCTTTAGAAACGTAACTAAGCCAAAAAGCTTTTGTAACGTACCTAAGCCATATGTTAATAAATTCAAATTCCTTTTTATTTCAATAAAAAGTAGTAAATAATTAAATAATAGATACTGTAACGATTTAGCTTAATTATTATTATTGGTGATGCGAAATTTAAAAATATGTATTTTTGTCTTTTACAATTTTTTAATAAATAAACAAAAAATCAATGAAGAGCACTTTGTAATACCAAAATGCTACTACTGTTTACAACAATATGAAATTGATTAACAACAATAGAATATTTTTTTATACAATCAGAGGCGGCAAAATTTTAATTAAATAAAAAATTCCGGGTTGGTACCTTGAACCCGGACCCGGCCCAGAAAATTCTAAACTAATATTTGCCGGCCCGTACCCAGCCCGTTGCAGGCCTCTACTTAGTGTTGTATTTATAAACAATTTTAAATATAAGAAAAGGTTTTTTATTGAGTAAAATGAAGTAATATTGATGCTAACTTTATTTAATAATATCAGTGTTTCTTTAACGTCATCGTCACTCTACACTTTCGCAATAATTAAAACTGAGCAATAACGAACAATTTCGAATAATTGAATAATATTATAATAAGGAAAGAAATTAAAAATAAACGATGTTATAAATACGAAATCTAAAATGTTAAAACGGCGGAAGCGGAAATATTGCGAATTGGTTAAAGGAAGGATTTCAAGGTGTATGTATGCAAAATATAATAAGTGCGAGCGTGGAATGTTGAGCTGTTTAAGAAATCTATAAAAAAGTAATTATTAGACCAGACTGGAATCTTGTCGATTTGTCATACTGGCGATTTTGTCTTCTACAAATATTTCATACATGCAGTCCATCTGCTTTATTGTTATAATGAGCACCCCGTCAGTATCCAAAGATTAATTTGTTTTGATTTTATAGGTTCTGTAGGTTCTATAAGTAATACTTTTACACTGAATAAAATTTCGCCCGAAAACTCCATAACTCCGCATGTAAATCACTTTCAATATTTGCAGTTAGTCTTTTGAAGATCATTTGACTGTCAAGCTGCCACTGGCTGAAATTCAATTGTAAATTATAATTATAATGTTCTTAAAATCAAAAAATTTTTTTTGATATGATATAAATTTAAAAAAATCATCAATTATACAAACTTCGTTGTATATACAGTTTCATCAACCTTATTTTGATTTGCATTAGAAAGAGTGGTTGAATTTCCAGGAATCAATTATCATTAATTGTCAATTAGTGTTTTACAAATATCCCCTATTCTATTTCTACTCATAATCTAACTATAACTTATAATTAAAATTCTTTAATTTTAAACCTCTTAATATAAGCAATGCATGTAATATATATATGCATTTAGTGATTAATATCTTACTTTTAATATAAATTCTTGATTTTTAATTAAATTTTATTATTAAGCATTATTATATAATTTTAAATTTTTAGGAAAATTATTTTTGCAATACTTGTCTCTGAAAAATTAGAAGCATATTTAGTAAATTGATTTTCAAGCATGTGAATAATTCACATTAGATCCAGTTTCAGATGCATAGAAAACATCCTCATTAGGGAATAGTAGTCTTATAAACCCCATACTAAAAATTAAATATAGAACTAACCGATGATAATATAATAAAACTATAATACTTTAATTCGTTAATTATGTTTTACTTATAAAAAATTTTATTATAGAACTAGTTTCGAGTTAAGAAAGTAAATACAATAGCAAATTTTATTAATTAACTAATATTAAAAATTATACTCAATTATTGTTTCAAAATATTAATAATATTAGACAGAAAAGAAATTTATAAATTATCTAAATACTAATTTCACCGATTAAGCTCCTCGCTTCGATCTACAAAGTATTTCCAATTTGAAAATTCATTTGTACGAAATGTTTCGAATTTGAGAAAATGGGAATGACAACTGCCAATTATAACTATTTTGCCATGATCAAAATTAGTGTTCCGAAAGAGTCGAATCGGGTTGGATTTGAGGATGTACTCGGACTCGACCCGTTTATAAAAACCAACCCGTACAAATACCCGGGTTAATATTTATAAAACCC